AAATACATCATGAAAGAAGAAGGCATTGAAGATAGATGTCGTATATGCCATAACAAGTCGGAAACAATAGAGCATATACTGACGAGCTGCACTCCCATAGCTTCCACTGAGTATCTGAAGCGCCACGACAACGTGGCTAAAATAGTTCACCAAGAAATTTGTTATGCTGCGAACATACTAACTGACCGCACCGCATATTACAAGTACCAGCCGACTCCAGTTATAGAAACTAACAGCCATAAAATATACTGGAATAGAACAATTCAAACAGATCACACCATGGAATACAACAAACCAGATATCGTAGTTCAAGATAAAATGAAGCAAGTTACCTGCATAATTGACATTAGTGTGCCTTCCCCACATAACATAGCTGAGAAGCAGACAGAAAAGGTTCGCAAGTACTTACCACTAGCTGCAGAAGTAAAAACACTGTGGATCAAGAAAAAGGTTGAAGTCATCCCAATAGTGATCGGAGCCACAGGAGAAATACCTAAGAGTCTACATAAATATATTGAGAAACTAAATCTGCCGCAGAAACTATACCTCTCACTTCAGAAAGCTGCTATCTTAGGTAGTTGTCATATAGCACGCAAGGTCCTGATGTAGCCACATAGACAAAGAGAAACCAATAGTCACACTCAGACGCTTGCAGTATATGCCGCGTTGAGGATACCACCTGCAGTAGCAGAGATAGCTAACAGAAAACGGAATAATAGAAGATAAATAATAATAATAATAATAATAATAATAAATAATAATAATAATAATAATAATAAATAATAATATAATAATAATAATAATAATAATATAATAATAATAATATAATAATATATAATATAATATAATAATAATAATAATAATAATAATAATAATAATAATAATAATAATACTAATAATAATAATACTAATCATAATAATAATATAATAATAATAATAATAATAATAATAATAATAATAATAATAATAATAATAATAATAAATAATAATAATAATAATAAAATAATAATAATATAATAATAATAATAATAATATAATATAATAATAATAAAATAATAATATAATAATAATATAATAATAATAATAATAATATAATAATAATAATAATAATAATAATAATAATAATAATAATATAATAATAATAATATAATAATACTAATAATAATAATACTAATAATAATATAATAATAATAATAATAATAATAATAATTAATAATAATAATAATAATAATAATAATAATAATAATAATAATAATAATAATAATATAATAATAATAATAATAATAATAATGTCTTTATTAATCCCTCCACACTGCGAGGCCAGCTGGCTACTCTACCACTTAACCTCACAGCTCAGGAGCACATACAAAAGGAAAACATAACAATGAATAGCAATCGACTAAATAATATATACAATAATTAAGCTTAAATAGATTAATCTTAATATGTTGTACATCTATTCCACATAGCCCGCTCTAACAAAAAAAACAATAAGACAAAAAAAATATATCAGCCTGCTTGGCTAGGAGACCCCAGAAGGTGGTTCTTAATGGCTCTCTTGAAAGCAAGTATTCCCATCTTTTGTAATTGTCAAAAATACTATGTACACCTTGACAGCGTGTAGGTGAAGCTACGATGGAAAATGTTGCTCCTATAACTAGGTATATGGAAGTCAGAGTTATGTCTCAGATTCCTGTAATTGAGATCCCCACGTGGTACCCAGCCTTTTTAGTAGATAAGTAGGTAGCCTATTGATTTTTATTCGTTGTATTAAAATTAGTAAGTTATATGTGAATAGCTGGTCAACCCTCAACCATCTAAGCTCATTGATCTTCTTAGATACATGGCTAAACTTTCGCAGACCACCAACGAACCTACAGCAGCTATTTTGAATTGTTTGTACTCGATATCTAGTCACGTAATCAAGACAAGGAAAGTAAACAGCAATTGAATAATTTATTAACGATAGAACCAGAGTCTCAGCCAGTTTTTTGCGAGTCTTGAAATTCAGAATATGGCGTTTGGTGTATAATAACTTCAAACGCCTGTATGTTAAGCGAGATAAATGCATAACATGTGGTTTAAACCTCAAATCTGAATCCATGGTGATCCCTAAGTACTTCGCATGGTCTACTATAGGAATATGGGTTTCGTTAAGACTAGGAACAATTGTGCCATCTAACCGTTGTACTAACTGTTTTGGGCCAAATATACGTAGCATAGTAGAACATTTTGAAGCATTGATCTTCAGACAATGTCTTTTGCAGTACTCTTCAATTTTATCTAGATCTAAGTTCAATTTATATGATGCTTCATGCATGTCCGAAGAATCAAAAGACAGAGTTAGCTGCGTGTCATCTACATACGTTTGAATATTATAGTGCTGAAGGCAAGTATGTAGATCAAAAGTATAAACTAAATAGAGTAATGGTCCCAACACAGAGGCTTGAGGTCCGCCAGATGCCACACTATTTGCCGAAGAAAATCCCTTACGTGTTTTCACCTTCTGGGTACGATTGCACAAATACGAATCGAAGAAACGTAGTGGCTTGTCAGAAAGACCATAAAATTTGAGCTTACTCAAGAGAATACCATGATGTACCATATCAAAGGCCTTAGAGAAGTCTAGCAGAATCAGAGCTGTTCCTATCTGATCATCTACATTTTTGATGATATCATCCGTAATGTTTAATAAAGCGATTGTTGTGCTATGCCCTGTACGGAAACCAGACTGATATTGAGGAATCATATTGTTTTGTTTAAAATAGTGGGCCAGCTGTATGTAGACAATTTTCTCTAAAACCTTCGACAAAAAGCACAACATGCTCATGAGCCGTAGGTGAGAATACTCAGAGGGGCTGTTATCTTCGCCAAAGGCAAAACGATAGCTTCCTTCCAGCAGCTTGGGAAAATCCCTGTCTCTAAGGAAACATTTATAATATGAGTAATGTGATTCAAAATTTCTGGTAAGCAGAGATTTACCATTTTACGACTAAGTCCATCACAACCCGATGTTTCTGACTTATAGAAGTTAAAACATCCAGCACTCCATGCTGGTCAACGTAGCGAAAAGTAAATGAAGGATCATTAGTGCAGAAGGAGCTATTATCATATTTATGAATTGTAGACTCAATTAGCCTCGAGTTCATATTAGCAGCAAGTGAGTTCAATAAAAAGTAATCATTCAGAGAGTCAGGTTCGAGTAGGTCATCTGGAATTTCAGTTTTCTTCCGTCGACAGATACTCATATCTTCAAGGGTTTTCCAAGCTTGCTGCGTATTCAAGTTATCAATGTGTGATAGGTAAGCCTTTTTTCCCTCCTTATTGACGCTAAAGCGTAATTTCTAGTTCCTTGTAGTAAATCCAGTTTTCTTGATTGGGAGTACGTCGGAAAGTTATTATGGCAGTATCCCTCTGTTTAAGTATAAGTTTACTGTAGCTGTTAACCAGGGTGCGGCTCTTTGTTGACGCGAGCAACTCTGACAGGCGCATAGGCATCAAATAAAATAGTGAGTGATTCCGTTAAAATACATACTTTTTGTTCTGTATCTTTGACATAAAAATTCTATCCAAATTCATTCGGGTTAAATCAGTCTTAAAGCTGACTATGTCAATGTTTTTAAGATCTCTATAGGTGATAAATCGCAGTAGGGGTTTCTTAATTACAACACAGAATTCGCAAAAAACCAACTTATGGTCAGAAATAATATCTGCATTAACTACACCAGCTTTTGAAACAGTGTCTGAGTTATTGACGAAAATTGGATCAATGAGAGAAGATCTCATTTGGGTTACCCTAGTAGGCTCGTCAATGACCTGCGCAATGGTGTAACAATCAAAACATGCACTAAGTGGGTTACCTGGGTTGAGCAGAGCAACATTCATATCACCTGATACTATGATATATTGTCGTGCTGAGGGCTGAAAAATAATAGGAGCTTATCCAAAATGCTAATGCTATCGTTTATAGAGCAATTATATTTCGTAGTGCCGTTCTCGAATTACAAAGTAACCACTTGTAGTAGCAATTTTTCCCGCTCGCACCAGTACGAAGTTCAAAGCAAAATATGCTCCCCGCCCTGCCCATACCCGGCATAGACCGGTACCTGATCTCCTCTACCAAGACTCGTCACTGCAATTTTTCGTGCGCTCGCAGCAGGACGGAGAGAAAGATGGGTCGCGTAACAAAGAAAGTGACGCGTAAACACAGAAAAAAAAATTACACAAATTGCTGCAACTTTTAGATAGTTCAAGTAAGTATATTGTAATTAATTGTTCCCTTCTGTTTTAGCCCCAATTCATTCAATGAAAACATAAGTACACATGTGCTATGTGCCTATCAGGTTCCTGTTTATTATTGATATTCAGTATTCACATGAATTACTAGTATTAATTAAAATGGTTGATTAATTTCAATGTGCCCCTCGGATATACATGTACACATGTACTATGTACCGATTAAACACTTCTTGATATACAGTATTCACATGAATTACTGGCATGAATAGTTGATTGTTTTCAAAATACATCTCGGGTATGCGTATGTACACATGTGCTATGCACCGAATGGCGACTTCTTGACTTACAGTATTCACATGAATTACTGTTGTCAATGTTATTGGCATATTGGTATGGAATACATAGTATGTAACTCTTTCAAAACAAAGCTGCCGGATAGTGTTTATAAACATGTGAAAAGTTTTTTAGGCGAGTCAGACGTCTCGTCGTTGGAGAGTACAGGGACGGACTCGGATTCAGATGCGCCCTTATCAAACCATCCAACGCAAGTCCCGGAGCCTGGCTCATCCCAGGATCAGGGTGTACAAAATATACTACAATTCCTGGGTAATCAAGCATCTGCTATAAAAGGACCAGAGGTCAGTACAGACGTAGCAGCCCTGATATCTGAGTTTTTCCTCAAGGGAATTGATAAAGAATCTCGCAAAAACTACTCTGGAATCTTATCCCTGTTTGGCAAACTGTCCAGCCCTTCAGCCTCCAGTGATTAACCCAGAGGTTCGATCTTGTTTAAGTTCAAATGCAGTTAAAGCGGATACATTCCTCTGTAAACTTCAATTACATCTGGGATAAGTGCACTGGCCGTCGGCTTCGATAAGCAATATGAAATAACGAAATCGAATTCTACAGACGAAACACGAGCTGATTTGGAAAGATGCTGTGCTCCACTAAAAATAATCGCAGATGTTTTTCACGCGATTTCTCTTCATCGTCGTTATTCCATTCTACCATTTTTGGATGGCAACGTTCGCAAATTTTCTGATACTTGCCCAATTGATAAATTTTTATTTGGAAAAACATTTCCGGACCAATGGAAATCCGCAAGTGAAGCTCAACGATTAGGCTTTTCAATCAAGAAGAAGGAAAAAGCCCTAGGATCAGCATCTTCCAACCAGTCGTCTATAAGAAATTGGAGCCCAAGCCAGGTCCGTCGAGGGTCCCGTCGTCTTTAAACTCCCGGCGCCAGCAACACAAATCTCGCATGAAAACGAGGAGGAGAGGTTTCGTTCAGCAAGGTCATACCGGAAGCAGTAGACAAGGTACATACTCTTTGCGATAAGTATGCGGGTCGCTTATCTGCATATGTAAATAAGTGGGCAAACATTACACAAGATTCTACTATTATTTCGTGGTTATCTGGATATAAAATGCCTTTTGTTAAGAAACCTAAGCAAAGGCGTTTACCTAGACCTGCTTTTACGCTGCAGGAATCAGATAAATTAAAGGATAGCATAAGACTTTTGATAAACATAGGAGCAGTATCCAAAACTACCTCAAAACCTGGCCAGTTTTTGTCCTCATTTTTCTTAATACCGAAACCTTGTGGGGCATTCAGGTTTATTCTAAATTTAAAGGAATTAAACGAATTTTTAGAACCACCCCACTTTAAATTGGAAGATTTCAGGACTGTCTTCAAATTGGTTTATAATGACTGTTTCTTCACTAAATAGATTTAAAAGATGCCTATTATATGATACCGGTGCATCAGACATTCAGAAAATACCTCTCTTTTAAATTTCAAGGTGTATATTACCATTTTAAATTGTTTACTAGAGGTATAATTTGTGTACTGTATTTAGATGACTTATTAATTATCAGTAAGTCAATACAAACAGCTGAGCAAGACTGTCAAATTGCTAAGGATATTTTAGAATATTTAGGATTCTTAGTAAATTACCAACAGAAAAAGTGAAAAACATGATGGAACTAGTAGAGACTTTTCTACGCCGCAATCGGTGCTCTGTTTTAGTTTTAGCTCAGTTAATAGGAAAACTAGTTTCCCTTTGCCCGTCTGTATAATATGGTTGGATGCACCTTAAGATTTTAGAACGAGGTTAAATATGTAACATTAAAAGACACGAGCAAAATTTCAATACCTCAGTAGTAATTTCAGAAATAATGCGATCAGAAATATATTGATGGCATCACACTCTTATAAATAATGAAGGTGTAGCTATTGTTACAGATAGGAACTTCATACTTGAAATTTTCTCAGATGCTTCATTAACTGGTTGGGGTGCCTTTTGTCAGAATAGAGGTACTAACGGTTTTTGGAATGTGGACGATGCTAACAGACACATTAACTATTTGGAGTTACTATCCGCATTCAATGCACTTAAATCCTTTGCCTCCAATATATCTTCTTGTTCAATTCTTCTTAGAATCGACAATGTAACGGCTATAGCTTGCATAAATCATATGGGTAGTGTAAGATATAAGCACCTCAACAACATCGCACGCTAGATTTGGGAATGGTGTAAGAATAGACAAATTTTCATAGTAGCTTCATATATAAATACAACAGATAATTTCTATGCAGATAGATTATCTCGCTCGAAATCTATCAACCTAGAATATGAGTTATCGAGTTTGGCTTTTCGAGAAATTTGTTCTTGTTTCGGGAACCGACTGTGGATTTATTTGCGACACAGTTAAATGCCAAAGTTCCTAGGTATATTTCTTGGAAACCAGATCCTAGTTCCTTTACAGTTGATGCATTTACAGTGTCTTGGGGAAAAGAGTTTTTTTTATGCGTTTCCTCCTTTCTCACTCATATCAAAATGCCTACAAAAAATTATTGCTGAACAAGCTTTGGAATTCTTGTGGTTCCTAATTGGACAACTCAACCGTGGTATTCCGTTTTCCATAAATTATTGACAGGAAGATCTATAATCTTTTCGCCTAATAAAGCCCTTCTCTCTTCCCCTTCTAGGGGATGCCATCCACTGTGGAGAACACTTTCCCTGGAGGCTGGGAGTTTATCGGGGAAGCTTTTCTCAGACGAGGAGTGCCAGAAAACGGGCTCCAAGCAATCAAGGCATCGCTTAGTCCATCTACCTTGAGACAGTATTCATCGAAATTAAAAAAGTGGTGGCAATTTTGCATAAGCAAAGGCTATATTCCTTTTTTGTATTCATTAGACGCAGTCATTAATTTTTTGAGTGATCAATTTCAAAACAGTTGCTCCTACTCAACACTTAACTCACAGTATGAGGCATTAGCTTTGATTTTGAGATAAATAGCTCAGATAAAACTATTCTAAAACGGTTTATTAAAGGAATTTTCAATCAGAGACCGTCAAGACCTTAGTACCAATCAACTTGGGATCCTCAACCAGTTTTAGAGTACTTATCTACCTTGTATCCCTTAACAGAAATATCTGTTATGCAATTGACTATGAAGTTAGTTACTTTGTTAGCTTTAATTACTGGCCATCGATTACAAAACGTTCACTTATATACGATTACAAAATATAGTTCGCCATACTGATAGAATAGAAATTAACATACGGATAGAATCAAAAATTCATCTTCCAAGGATCTTCAACCCCCTTTTAGTGATCCCATATTTTCGGGAAAACCCTAGCCTTTGTTTAGCCTCAACTATCGATTTCTATGAAATAGAAACCAGAGGCATACGCCCACTTGATACTGATTTTCTTATTTTAACAGTTAAGAGACCTATTCGCCCAGCCTCTACACAGAGATTGAGTAAATGGATCAAACTGACCCTTCAAGCAGGCGGTATTGATACCTCTATATTTTCTAGTTATAGCACTAGGCATGCAGCTACATCTGCAGCCTATAGAGCTGGAGTCTCTATTGAAATGATAAGAGAGAGGGCTGTTGGACGCAAAAATCATAAATCTTTTCTAAGTTTTATAATCGCCCTCTTGTAATGATGTTACGGCCTTTGCTAAAGGTATCTTGAGTTAAGCTCAGTTTAATATATTTTTTTTATGGATTAATAGAGTTTGATCAAATTCTATACTACTTTTTGAAGAGAGAGTAGTGAACTGTTCATAATATAATAATTTGTATTAGAAGATAGTATTATTGAATTGTTTTGTTTAGATTCCTCTATTAGATCTTTACGAAATAAATATGGTGCCATGATCCCGATTCGGACTCTTCTTTGAACATCTACAAGTGGTTACTTTGTAATTCGAGAACGGCAATACGAAATATAATTAATTGTTCAATTGACTTACCTTAAGGAAAATTGAACCATATTATATGAGTATTGCCGTTCGAAGAATTACAAACCCACCCATTGTTTTTCATCCCTCCCACTGTTCCGAACGGGATTAGCTGCGTAAATTGCAGTGACGAGTCTAGGTAGAGGACATCACGTACATACCGGTCTATGCCGGGTATGGGCAGGGGCGGGGAGCATATTTTGCTTTGAACTTCGTGCTGGTGCGAGCGGGAAAAATTGCTACTACAAGTGGTTACTTTGTAATTCTTCGAACGGCAATACTCATATAATATGGTTCAATTTTCCTTAAGGTAAGTCAATTGAACAATTAATTAGGAGGTCGATAAATGAGCATTATCAGATATCCCCTAACTATATATAACTATCTAAAACTGTAATGACTCATCGATGTTCACGTGAACATCACTTAACTACCAGTAGTCGGCTGTTCATAGGCGGGGTATGAATGTTTAACATGGGTGAACTAGATTTGTCACATGCTTAATAAAGAGTGGTTTGAAACATATTGTAAGTAAACAAATTTGGGAATTACCTTTATTCATCGTCGCTTCCACTTACATCTGACAGTAATAAACTGTCGCTATCGCTTTCCTCGTTGAAATTGACTATATAACTGCTCTATGATGGTGTCGATGTGGTGGTCAAGCTGCCACATTTTTGTTTCTTCCTTCACAACATGACGGATAGCATTCTGCCAAGCTTCGGGCGTTACTAGCTGTATGGAAGTCTCAAGTAAAACCTTAACGTCTGGTAATTTGAAGATTGTGTTATAGCGCGCAATATAACCCTTCACTTGAGCCCAGATGAGCTCTACTGGGTTCAGTTGAAAGTGGTAGGGCGGTAACCGCAGCACAGTGACACCACATTGACGGGTCATCTCATCAGTCAAGTTGCAATGTTCGCAGGTTTGTGCTGTTTAATTTTTTCATATAATTCCGCTTTCACACATGAATCGGCAAACTGGGATTACTTTTTCGCGCAACCATTGCTGCATGTCACTTTTTCGAGATCCCATAGTCGGTACACGTTCGGCTCGACGACTATGGTAGGAAGCATTATCCATGACGATCACAGAGTTGGGCTCAACTCGCTGAAGCACCCCTTGAAACCAGCTCTCGAAGCAGCTGGCATTCATTTCGTCATGGTAATTCACCTCCTTTCTTATAGACGAAAATCAAGTCACACTCTTCTAAAAAGCCACTATCGCTACCATATGAGTTACGATCAATCTTTGACCTTTCCCTGACGGTCCAGCGAAGCCTGTTGACAAACCTTCAATGCTTGCTTGTCGGTTACTTACTACGTTTTGTCTATCCAGGTTTTTTTAACTGTGTGACCTGCATTTACCCATGTCTCGTCCAAATAATAGATTTTTCTCTGCTTTTTCGCCTATATTCAATCATTTCGCGTAGTATTTTCGACGCCAGGCGACTATTTCAGGTCTCTCTATCAATACTGACTTCCGATTACGCGTTTCGTAACGAAATTAATTTCGTGCAGGGATTTCCTCATACCTCGACGCTCATTTGGGGTATAATTTCATTTTCCTTGATCTCTGCATGTACAGCCTTGAGGGTTGGTATCTCATTCCTAAAAAAGAATGAATGTACGGTTCGCCTTAACCGCCATTTTGCTATCGTCATCCAATTTATAACGGCCTTTCGTCCCTTCAAATTAAAACTTTGCTATCAGTAGTAGCTTCCAGGTTTTCTTCTTTCCATTGCACCACCCTGCGAATGGTCCACTCTGGAACGCGCTGTCATACTTCACAACGCGTAGTGCATCTCCCTGCGACATAGTTCTGTTCAGATAATTGAACACGTTTGAGCACGATTTCTTTCGCGTCCCTCCTCAGTGCTTTACGAAGCCCGTTCTACTTGTTCCTTGGCTTTTAGTACTTCCACTCGTGCCATTTGTACTCTCCATGGTTAAGTATAACCAAAACAGTAACCACAGAAACCACAACAATAACAAGCACACAACAATTCTTATAAAAAACACCACAATATGCCGATCGCTCAATGAAACACGTTCAATGCGTTGCCGACGCCTATGAGTCTGCCCGGGTCGAGGCGCGTCTTTGCTTTCATTGGTTCTACCGGCGGAGAACAATCAGCCATTATTTCCATCTCTGTCTGTGCTGATGACCATCGCAAAGCCACAGAAACGACATGTGTCGTACGCTATACGGCTGTACTGGAAGGAAGCCGGGATCGAGCTCTGATCACGTGTTGATCACGCGTATGAGTCATTACAGTTTGAAATAGTTGTGGTATAGATATAGTGAATTGACAACAAAGTATTTCCATCGCACCCGAGTCGATAGGGTTCGTTTCTACTAAACTACAATTGAGATATGACCTAGCATACAAAGCAACACCTCCACCCCTAACTCCACGATCTTTCCGGAATAAACTGTAGCCATTCATTGATACTGCACCATCATCAATGCAATCGTTTAACCATGATTCACTAATAGCAATAATATCATATTTATCACGCGTTAATGCAAAAAAAATCATCTAAAGAAGGCAGCAGAAGCGAACGTTTAAATGACATACATTCATTAATCCCTTATTACTATTAGTCATATTGAATCATATACTAAGTGACATATAAATCCGAACACCCAGTTTAAATGGTTTTATTTTAATAAAATTTTGTATAAGTACTTAATGAAGCATAATAAGTAAATGATAAAAATTTCAAAATGATTGCACTGCTTTAAAGCCCTTTGACCTTTAATAATGTGTGGATGCCCCCTGATGTGCTACGCATTCTCAACGCGCCTAGGCATGCTTCTGATCAGGTGGTCAATGTCCTCCTGTGGTATCTCATTCCAGGCAACCACCAACTCCTCTGGAAGTGCTTTCTAGAGTCTGAGGAGGGACGTTGCAAATTGAGCAATCTCCTACCCATCATATCACACACGTGCTCAATTGGGGATAAGTCGGAGATCTTGGTGGCCATGGTAACAATGTGACATCATTTTGTTGAAAGAAGTCTATTGTGACTCTTGCAACATGTGGTCGGGCATTATCTTGTTGGAAAGTTGGATCTGCCAGGGTGTCAAGATAGGGTAAAGATGGTTTTCTAGAACTTCGTGGATATAACGCTGCGCGTTCATGTTACCTCTGATGAAGATTAAAGGTGACCTCGTAAAGGATGTCAAGAACCAAAATCCGCCAACGTTGATTCTTTTACTGCGGCTGAAATATTCATTTTTAGAGCGTTAGTAAATTAAAAAAAAGCAGTATAAAAACCGGAATGTCCAACTGATAAGGCTGAACATTTTTTCAACTTGTTACTTACAGTAAGATAAATACATTCACCAACTTTTATTAAAATAAAACCATTTAAACTGGTGTTCGGATTTATATGTCACTTAGTATATTATGACTTCCCGTAACACTGACAACACACTAAATCAGATTTGCAATTTACTACTATATGGCCAAATTGCACAGCACTGTAACACTTCATAACACGTAGGTGATCACAGACTTCTGACTTCTTCCACCCAATGAACAAGTACCCTCCTGAAGAAACGATTTACGAAGGGCTGGTGTCACGTCAACGACGACATTAACGGCTGTTGAAATGCTTCAGCTTGGTTACGTATTTAATATCTTGTTTAGGAATATTTAGAGAACTGTTCAAGGAAACGATGCTATCCAAGATATCCTCAGGGGTGTTGATTCCATTCAGGTTTACGTTCTTAATTTACATCCGTGGATTGAGCTTTTTAGCTTCAGAAAAGGAATATTTGGAACCCAATTTACCGCTCAAACCAGTTTTGAGGGCAGCTAGGGATTCATCGTCTTTGCAATGAACAGCAACTCCATTTTTGATCAGTTTCGTACCATTTACACAAACATTCAGGTCACCAGGTTTGACAGAAGAAGTGACTTCTTGCAGAATATCTTTGGAATCAACAACCTGCTCGCCTCAGGCCTAGGACGAAGCAAATCAGCAGACTCAAATGTCCCCATTTTGCTGCCATGGGATTTCAGCACCTCTTTTTGTAACCCATTACTGTACTCCAACTCAGATACTAGCTTTTTAGTTAAATTCAGCAAAGACAATCATCGCAGAGCCAAAGAAGGTTTTCGCATTCAGCAATTATTCTCAGCCAACTATCCTTGACAACAACGCAGGACGTGTGGTATTTGGCGACAAAAATACTGCAGCTGATGGCCTTCGCTTTGACTATAAAGTTGTCATCACATACCTTGCAGATCTCGATACCAGGTGCCATGACACCAAATTCATGGACCTAATTTCACTGATCTAAAAAACACATACCATTTCTTTCGAGCAAATAGTTTTTGTTACTGCTTTCCAGTGATGTACAAAAATAACACTTATTGCTGATCAAAAAGGAAATGTGCAATAACTCAAATATTTGACATGCAATAGTGGAGATCTTACATTCGAGACGAAGAGTGGACTAAACACTCGACTCCTGGCAGATTTCACAATTTTCACTTCACTATAAACTACCGGAAACCCTACGATTTAAGGAGCGACGTTACTAGTATCACCTTCGACTACGTCCTATCTAATCCTCCTATCTGATCATATCACAGTAAGTGGGCAGAACAGATGGGTTTAATTCCTTTGGGGTACCAAATAGAGGACAACTAGTACCAGTTCTTGATTTTATATGAGCCATTATCTGAAAAAAACAGTAATCCAAAATTATGACTACTTTATTTAAAGAATGTCCCAAACTTGCAATAAATTACTATTAGTATACCCCATTTGAACTTTAAATTGAAAAGACTTAAACAAATGCGACCTTGCGCTGACTTTTGAGAAATTTATAGATTGAAGCATGCTGCTCTTCGATCAATCGTATCGCATTACACGTGGT